AGGGTTCTTGAGAGATGGGTTTGTTGTTATCTTCCTTTCATTTCTATCATTTTGATGATGAATTTCAATAGCTTTTCCTTCCTCGTCTATTGAAAATCTTAGGATTTGTGGATTATTTTGCTACATGACGCTAGTCTCTGGATTACTTGCTTTGTGCTATTCTATGACTATAAGCTAGACGAGCATTTGGGGTCTAGTGTGAAGCTAACAAGAACCTGGCTTTGATTATTGACACCTACTAAATTCCTCCTAAAATTTATGGGATTGAAATCAAATCTTCGGGCCTAAGATAATTTTCTGAAACAAGGGAGTTTGATTTTCTTTCCAAGTCGTTCTAACTCGCAAACTTGTACTCTCCTATTTACCTTTGCCTTAGTAAGCATACCAGGTTCTGTATTTTAAGAGTTCAAAGCATATTCTAAAGCTTGTTCATTGTTCTTGCTATCATGTTATTTCTTATATGTTGCTTTTGTTTGTGTAAATTAGTTGCTTAAGAATCATGAATTTCAGTTAATTTAGCATACCATGAACCTCCTCGCATATTCCGTTTTGCTTTATGGACATTTTTCTAATGCCATTTTTTTTCAAATCAAGTAAGAAATTGTGGATAGAATATTATGTATAGTCCTTCAAAATTTTCTGAGAATTCTTTTTCCAGTTCATATCTTCTTGGGTAATCTTGTATATTGTTTGACCAACTGACTTTGTAATCTTTTGGATTTTTTATGTGGGGATTGGCTTGTGTATTCTCTTTACAAGTTATAGCTTTTGCTAATCGATAAATTTAGCTTTGTCTACTACTGCTGGTAGGTTAACATATGTAGACGAATATTGACCCGGGCCGTTTAAATTGCTGACCAAGTTCACAATATTTCTGTAATCTTTGTGACAGAAATCGGCGTGGATACTCACTTAGAGTAAGGTGATTTGCAGCCCCTGTACATTTTCATCATGCCGAGCCGGAGAAGTGACTCTGCCATCAAGCTAATTACATACTCTGAGGAGCTTGTGGATGGGAAACCGTTCTATGCTTTTTCCAATTGTCTTCCTGTTAAGGCTTTAAATCGCGAACCTGCTGGTCATGCCTTCCATACTGCTGCTCTTAAACTGCATGGTTGTGTAGAGGAACCCACAGACAATGAAGGTGGTGATAAGAAAGTTGGAGATGATAAAGAGAAGGAATATGTTCCTTCATTCAACTCTTATGCCAACAAAGGAAAGAAGAAGTCTGGTACGCAGCAACAAGACCATTATGCGTTGTTGGGTTTGAGCAATTTAAGATATCTTGCAACAGAAGATCAGATTAGGAAAAGCTATCGTGAAGCTGCACTGAAGCACCATCCCGATAAACTGGCTACTCTCCTTCTGGCAGAGGAGACAGAAGAAGCCAAGGAGGCAAAAAAAGATGAGATCGAATCTCGCTTCAAAGCGATTCAAGAAGCTTATGAGGTGCTGATGGATCCAACAAGGCGAAGAATTTTTGACTCTACAGATGAGTTTGATGACGAGGTCCCAACGGATTGCTTACCACAAGACTTTTTCAAGGTGTTTGGTCCAGCTTTTAAGAGAAATGCTAGGTGGTCAGTGAATCAGCGTATACCAGATTTGGGAGATGAAAACACAAAGCTTAAAGATGTTGATAAGTTCTACAACTTTTGGTACGCTTTCAAGAGTTGGAGGGAATTTCCTGATGAAGAGGAGCATGATCTTGAACAAGCAGATTCCCGTGAGGAACGGAGGTGGATGGAGAAGGAGAATGCGAAAAAAACTGTGAAGGCTAGGAAGGAGGAACATGCTCGAATCAGGACTCTTGTTGACAATGCTTATAGAAAAGACCCAAGAATTGTGAAAAGAAAAGAGGAAGAAAAGGCTGAGAAGCAACAGAAAAAAGAAGCAAAGCTTCTGGCTAAGAAGAAGCAGGAAGAGGAAGCTGCTATTGCTGCTGAGGAAGAGAAAAGGCGTAAAGAAGAAGAAGAAAAGCGAGCAGCAGAATCTGCACAACAGCAAAAGAAAGCTAAGGAAAAAGAAAAGAAGCTCTTACGCAAAGAACGGAATCGTCTTAGAACTCTCTCAGCTCCTCTAGTGGCTCAGAGTCTGCTTGACATCTCCACTGAAAATATTGAGAATTTATGCATGTCACTTAACATCGAACAGCTGCAGAATCTATGTGATAAGATGGAAAACAAAGAAGGACTAGAATTGGCAAAGGTGATCAAAGATGAGTGCAACCAAGAAGCCGTCGCTAAAGAAAAAGAAAGTAAGAAGACTAACGGTGAAGCAGAGCCGGCAAGCCGAGTTTCTCTGTTAGATGGCAATCAGAAGAAGCAACCATGGAGCAAGGAAGAGATTGATATGCTGAGAAAAGGAACAATAAAATATCCAAAGGGGACATCTCGGAGATGGGAAGTTATATCAGAGTACATTGGCACAGGAAGATCCGTAGAGGAGATTCTGAAAGCAACCAAAACCGTTCTTCTCCAAAAACCAGATTCTGCCAAAGCATTCGATTCATTCCTCGAGAAAAGGAAACCCAGTGCTTCAATCTCGTCCCCTCTCTCAACAAGAGAGGAACTCGGAGAATCTCTACCTTCATCAACCACAACAACAAACGCAAAACCCTCTAAAGAGACTGTTGTTGGGAAAAGCTCGAGCAGTCAAGGCTCAGAGAACAATGGTGAAGCAAGTGGAAGTTCAGACCCAGATGGTTGGTCGGCTGTGCAAGAAAGAGCTTTGGTTCAAGCTTTGAAGTCATTCCCTAAAGAGACAAGCCAGAGATGGGAGAGAGTAGCTGCAGCTGTACCTGGGAAAACGATGAATCAATGCAAGAAGAAGTTTGCAGAGCTTAAGGAAATCATCAGAAACAAGAAAACCGGAGTCTAAAGCGGAAATATTTTCTGAGCTCCATGAGAATTTTGGGTTTTAATCATCTTGGAGCACCGTTACTTTGCGAGAAGAAAAGACGTATAACTTTTTTTATTATTTGTAATGATTCATTTGCTTCTGATACATACCTCTCTCTATATTGAGCCACACTATTTATATGTTTCTTTATCTGATCTTTAATGTATTGTCAGTTGTTTTATATCCCAATATATCGATCATCTGATTTTTGCTAAATCGGTTAAATGGGTAAACCAAACAAATAGAATGGACTGAACCCGAAATAATTGGGTAAACCTGAGTAAACCGCAGGTCCATAAATCTTGTATCAAACTATAACAAACCGCAAGTCCTCAAAGGAAGTTAAGTAGCATGAAAATACAGAAAGATTAAACTGTCATGTGGTTCATTTTGTTACAAGGACCAAACAGGAGGCATATTCGTCCATGTGCAAGACCCAACACCTCGTGGTGCTTGACCCGATGAGGACCCAACAGCCGCGTAACTGTTTCCAATGTCGTCACCACCAAGAAGAAGCGCAAGCGCATTGCTCATGCTGCTTGAGTCTCTAACAATCCCAAAGCAACCATGGTCAAGCCAGCTCGACGCAAGTAAAACGTCAGGCCTTGTTATATCAACTCTCTTTGGTTCCCAAACCTGATCCAACTCTTCTGACTTTACAACAATCCCTGCAAAAGCTTCAAATATGAGAAAACGGGACTTGAAAATCTCATGCTACAAGAAACCAAACACAGCAGCTTAAGAATCAATATGGAGAAAGATTCAATGAGTAACATTGATCTTACCTGATGAAATTCCACCTGCGTTAAGTTGCATGGGAATTGGAATCTCGGAGTTAGCCAAGTTCTTCTGGGAGTCTTCCAATTTACCAGATTTGATCTGGGTTTCGCTGCCACGTGGTACATCCTGAGTAGCATCGGTTGTACAAGTAATTGAACCAAAACTCTTCTCAGATGATGACAACAACAAACTGTGCTTTGCACCAGTTTTGATCTTGGCCTCATGAAGTAACATATCTAGTAGGCCGGTGTCGCATGAAGAGAAACAATCTGAGACCTCTACCTGAGATGATGGCGGAGATTGAATATAGGCATCAACAGAGTCAAGGAGATCTGAGTGTGGAGATGACGGTGTTGTCTTCCACTGCTCAAATGCACTAGTTTCTGAATATTGGAATGAAGGGAGCTCCAGCTTCACTGCCCCAAACAAGGGCTTAGAAGTAAGAAGCATGCCATCCGTTAAGGTATGGCTATCTGGAAACATCATATCAGATAGATATTGGCTCCCGTAAGGAAGATGATCAACATCACAAGGCGAGATACTGCAAGACCTTGGATTCTTTTGTGGAGCAACGTTCTGAAAGTGTTCCGGAGACTGGAATTCATGCTTTATGTTACTGCTGCATATAGGAAACCGAGCTCCAGATTCCCGGAATGTCTTTGGGGAAGGTAATATTGGTGGCATGTAGCTTTCGTACCAAGAAGAACTTGCACCAATTCCTAGCATGTTGCATCCAACCAAATCTGATAGGTCAGAAGCGTCAGGTAACAAGCTGGCAGCAAAATTCAGTTCGTCCAATAGATCATTAGCTTTGGAACTCCCCAACTGCAAGAAATCTTGACGTCTTCTTCTATCTACTCTTATGATATTACTCTTTGTATACTCTTCACCCCAGCGCAGGTCTTCAACATGGATTTCAGGAGGGTAAAGTGGTAAGCCTGCTCGTCGTCGCCTCTTGATACGAGTGTTCCAATAATTCTTAATCTCATTATCTGTTCGACCAGGCAACTGGTAAGAAAAAGAAAGGTCAATACCAGAGATTTAGCCTTTAGGCTCACAAAAAACATCAATTTATGATAGTGAACTATAATCAGGTCTAGTCTTACAAAACTACTTACATGTTCAGCCATCTGTGCCCATTTATTCCCCATCTTGGCATGCATTTCAACAATGAGCTGTTCTTCTTCTTGGCTAAATGCTCCTTTCTTCAAGTTTGGCCTCAAATGATTAGCCCATCTCAGACGACAGCTTTTACCACAACGGGCAAGGCTCGTGTGTCTCTGCACAGCATTCCAGTTACCCTCGCCGTGCTTTCTGACATAGTTAATCAAAATTCCATCTTCTGTTGAGGTCCATGGTCCTTTCTTCAGGACACTTCCTTTCCCTTTACTTCTGCATCCATTGCCAATATTAGCAGAAGCTGGTGATTCATAATGGACGCTGGAGTGCATACCATCATCACTATCAACAGTAGTCGTTGTGTAACTCATTTCTTTCTATTCAAAGCAAGACAGACCCCAGCACTTTAATAACCATTTAGGCATCAAGCTCCCACCTGAACAAAGTTTAGAGAAAACAAGACAAACCCTTAGCCATCAAATAGTTTACATCATCAACATCATTCATGTGATAAAATCATATAAACTTCTAAAGGAGGAAAAAACCAGAAAACAGACAGTTATGAAATATTTGCCTAGTAGAATGCACAATATTATTTACTTAGTACTGAGATGTGAGTTCATAACCAAAAATCTTAAATGAAAATTTGGAAGAACACTACTAAAACCATTTTAACGAATCATCAAATATGCAAATTTATTTCCAAATTCTAGAACAATTGCAATCTCCAGGTTTCAATTCCAAATCCCAAAAACCAAATTTCGATATTCAATCAATCAGAAATTACAATTGAACAAGTGAATCCCTCTTTACAAGAATCGAAAAGCAACTAAAGGTACATCATACATACACGAACCCTAGCTGAGGTAAGCTCCATATTCAGAATCTACAAACCTGAAGATAATCAGCCAAAACAAATCGACAAATATGGAATAGTCGATCACGAAGACATCTATGTTCAAAGCTTCTACAACATGAGTCGAAATCGAAGCTCGAGTTGAGCTGAAGATACAGAAGCAAAAACTACTCGATTTGGTATTGAAAATAAAACACGAATCCAAAATTCCAATAAAAAAAATCAGCTCAAAATTGAAGCTCGACACTGATTATTATCACAGACAATGAAAACAAGGATCGAAGATCAGAGATCCGTGGAAATGGATTCAAGACCTAGTAACGGAAGAACAATCTAGAAGACGAAGATGAGAGATAGAGAGAGAGATTACGCGCGAAAAGCTCGAGCGATGATTACTCAGAGAATCGACGACAGAGGTAACGATAGAGAGAGAGAGAGAGAGATCAGAATAGCAAAGCAAGATTCATCATAGCTCCAAATGCTCAACACAAGTGAT